CAGCTAACATTTCGGGACGAGGTAAATAGTATCTATGCATGTGATACATGTTCCAGGCACTTGGTTCAATGAAGGCTCACAATGTCATCGACCGACTTTCCTCTTCTGACTAGCAGGCTACTCCAAACCTCTACGTTAGTGAAGTGGTGACACTACGACACAGTCTGTGTTCCGATTGTCGAACACCAGAAGCCGTTTCATATTCTTGGTTGTATTGTGTTCTCTGAGCTAGGTTGTTTAACCGTGAAGCTTTCACCGTTGTTCTGAACGACATCATCAGCACTACTTTTAATGACCGTGATTCACAGTCAGACAGTAGAAAAGAACAAACTGCAGTGCAGAACACTCGACCCTTTATGGACAGTTAGATATTGTGGCAGTACCGTGGCTGACGTAATTTCGCGAAAGCCAATTGAGCCTTTTGCATCCGCGCAGAGATTTCGTCGACCGCTGACCCTTCAAGTATGATTCGACTTCCCAGGCAAGTGAAATGGAGAATACACTCAGCCATTTCACTCCCTGCTGTTAGACAAGGTATCAATGAAGACCCGTCCTAGAGCAATAAATTGCGTTTGGGTGGTGAGAACACATTCAGATAACTTTACATCTCTTCGGGGTCTCCACCCAACAGGACTATGTCATCGTCGTACTGTAGACCCGACCTACTAAGGTGTATCCTGTGATAAGATCGATTCCTTTAAAGTCAGAGGATGAGAGGGAGACCTCCAAATGCACGTCTATGATAAAATTGAATGGAAAGGAGAAGAGGGAATATCCTTGAGGGACACTACTCGACATGCGCAACTCACCTGATAACTCACACCATAGGCTCTAACACCCCCACAAGTACTCGAGTACAACGCTTTCGACGGATTTATGTACTTACTCAGTACCCGTTTCAGTGAGAGACACTGTGATATGACCTATTAGTTGACGGAGTCAAATTTCTTTTTCGGGTGGGGAAATGCATGTAGTGAAATAAGGTCAAATAAACTCACACCGATGATAAAAAGCATCCATGCTCTAAGCTTATATCCTACCAACAGAGACTTATCAATTCAGTCGTGTAAATCAGCACCGCGAAGGTTCTGGAAATTACAAATAATGATCAAAGGAAGAGAGAATACCCATACATCCTCCACCTTTTATAAATCTACATTTTACTGTAGCAGAATGCTTCTTTTCTATATTTTAAAGAAGGCTAAGACAAGGCAAAAAGTAATTGTGTAACTCAATAACCACATTTAAATCCATGTTAGTTTTTTGTCAGGAAAGTCATGATACTAGCTCCCGGAACAAACCTTGGTAGGTGCCTCAGAGTTCAAAACCATCATCCATTGGTTAAAAAAAGACCACCTAAACTAATGAGTCACAAGTACACAATTTTTATGTACTACAATGTTAGGGGACGTTAAAAAGAAAATCGATGTCACATCAGGCAGTAAAATCAACACTTCTGTTCTGTCATATTAGATTCGTTGATTCAGTATAACATACAGTGTTATTTACCGAATGATGCTTCGAGCACATTGTCGTTACGTAAGCTGTTAAATGCTTGTAATTTTATCAGTCAAAAAGAATAAAATAAATGTACTACTAACTGGTAATATCTCCCTCCTCAAATTATTATAGATTAGGCTATGTATTACATATTTCTAGTCACCACCTGTCTTGAATTGTCTTTCCGAAAGGATTTGGAGTAGACCGGAAGAGAATTCAGGATGGTCGAGCCGGTTAGTGATACTAGAGGATGAATTACCATCCTGTCCTTGCTATTCTGCTTAAACGACTCCAGAATTCTTAGCTGACCCCTACAGATTAATAAAAATCAGTTGACTAGATTCTTTAGTAGCATTATTGAACACTAATGATACTGGCACAGATATATTCCTCACTATACCCCTTACCTTTACGTACCCCATTTTGTTTCTTATGCTTTTTGCCTTGCTTATTTTCTATCACTTTTCAAAGATTGAGGGTCCTACCGATGTACTTTTACAACACACTGCATTTTGTAGGAGTTATCGCTTTTTTAAGTAACTTCCTGGAAATTTACTTTATCTATCAATATTTAGTCAACCAAGTAATGTCTTTAACTGTGCTAATTTAGGTGCGGTCCGTAGCCTCTGCAACATGAACTTGTATGTGATTGATGCATCATATCATGATGATATCAACTTCGAAGTTTGGCAACTTAAAGATGGTGTGACTCAATCCATGGTTGTTATTTGACCGAGTTGTGTATGTATTTCGGTGTACTTAGTTTTGTACTTGAGAGATGCGAGGCAGAGTTATTAATTCAGGGGATAACACGATGAGGTTTAGAATATGAGGACCGGTGTTCAAGGTGTACGGAATTTTACTAATTATTCATTGTTGCCAACATAGAAATACAATTATTCTAATGCGTAAAGTGATATGTACATCAGGCATCGATAGGTAAGTTCTAGTGACCAGTGTATGGCTTTTATGTCATCTCAGTTACACAGAACTCAGTAGTATAAATGAAATATTTGTATCCCCGTGGTTCAGTTAACCAGTTTATGGGCGTTTCCTTAGTTTCTGATTCACTAAACAATCGAATTTTGTTGACATTGGAAATACCAAGAGAAATAAGCTTTTTGAAGATTCTTATAGCTTATCTTCTTTTTTCTTACTATTGGAAATTTCTTTTTGGCGCTGCTGGCGAAAAGAAACCCTTCCAGGTTTTTCTCACCCATTCATCATCTCTACCCTTATTATTACCAAGTAAATATTATATTCAACACTTAAAAGTCTGGGTAGCAAATATGCATTCTGATTAGGAAATGTTTTAGTCTTGTTTTTGAAGACTAAACACTTCCTAATGCTTGTCTTTTGGTCACTTTTAGAGATATTTTATTCAATGGGTGGATTTATATTTTGTTGGCATCCATATGGCATCTGGAAGTGATCTCAAGAGCGTATATTTTGTGCATACACACAGCTTCTGTTGTTGATGAGTAGTTAATGATTGTGAAGACCTTAAATTATTTATCGGTAGGGAGTGATAAAAATTTTCACAATTTGGCTAATTTATTGCAACATTTTGGGGGTCTGAGATTACTTATTGCCTAAAATACTCAACTTTTGAGTTTGTACTCCTCACCACTAGCTGTTTACGTTTAAAAAGTCAGATAGTTTGATCTGTAGTACATGATCTAGTGTACGAATATGCCATTTGTTGCCAATTTGTATTATTATTATTAAACTTACGGTTGGTTCATCATCTTCATAACCACCAAAACCAAGAATAATTTATTCATCTGAATTTTTCCCATTTCCACTGTACTACAGACAATGCGAAATCTACAACAGTCTGTAGTTTATCACAGTTACCTGATAAACTTAACGTCAGTATTCAGATACTTTTTCGATCATTCCTTTAGATGGAAAGTTATGGTACATAGTGTATGTATGCATATAGTTTCTGTGCTGAATAATTTCAATGGCACTGGTCTAAGGAAGGAAAATGTTACTCAAGTAGTGACCATATTTAGGTATTTGGTGATAAATTGGTTTGGTGTAGTGTGTCATGTCAGGTATATTCTGAGACACGTGACAATATTTTGTGCCTAAAAATGTCTTTCACCCACTTTAAACAACGGTGCATATATATTGCTCATTAATCATGATGAATTTGGTATAAATTGGCTGCTGGCCATCTATATTTAATGGGGGACACTGATACTAGAGGGAATGTCCGAACTAGCTTGGTTCATTCGTTTTTAACCAGTAAGCTAATTGTGTTGGAGTCGACTGGTTAGAACATTGAGTTACATGTACATTCATTCTCTACACAGTCTTATCAATAAAGACTTGTTTATCTGAATTAAATACCTTATGTAGCGTTAAGATTCATTTCATTTTGAAATGATTCATTCACGAAGGTATTGAATAATGTAGGCCCTCATTTCCACAAAGTTGGCAGTACTCTTGGAAGCGTGCGGGCAGTTGACACTTCCCGGCTGCCCACACGGTGGAAGGCTAGTTCTTCTTGAAGTACATGAAAAAGAAGGGATAGTGTGTAACCCCAGAGCCCAAGCGGTATCTGCTTGATGCCGATCATACACGACCTTCTACCAAGTTTGAAGTTTTGGTATTTTACTTTAGGATCTGATTGTGAATCTCTGTTGCAGGCATCAACATATCGCGAGAGGGTGGGAGTGTGCTACTTTCCCGGCCAACCTTTTCTCATCCCCCTTCCCATAGGGAAGGGAGCATAAGCGTCACACTGCTGGTCAGTCAAGTGAAACATCTTACTGCTGTTACACCTCATCCAGCTAGCATCAGTACAACTTCACCCTCAAACCCCCATCATAGTGTAGTAATTTACACTATGATTGTAACTACTCTTCTTTTTACCCCTATGCAGATAACCTTTCTTGTATGGTGGGACCTCAAGGGAACAAGTGTTCCAAACAGTGTAGCTCTTTAGGTCATTGTGGTATACAAGACCAACCACCAAGTCAAGGTAGCAGTTATCGTCCGGGCAGTATCTACTACTGGTGTTCGGCGCCTATAACTTTGCTTGAGTCTGTTTACCTTCAACAAAATTTTTGTCCAAATATGAAAAACGCCTGTATAGTAGTGCGATTCATTTGATCGGCTAACTTTGCGCATATTTCTCTCATGCTTCTTATCGTCTTGTACCTTAGAACTCCCCTGAAACTTGCAGATATTATGTCAATATGAGGCTTCTACTTACGCATGCACTTGTGAATTTATCGCAGAATGGACTAAAAGCCCAGATACCATTATAACTGATGTACACCATATATTTACATTGCATGTACAGCATTTTTACGATGAATGTTCCATGAAATCGCTGTGTATCGATTGGTGCTGCATCAGGACTTCATCTAAGATACCGTCTTCAATGCAAACCAATCTTGACACTTTTAATCAAGTCAACTATTTTGCACTATGCTTATAATGATAATAATTTAGTATTTTATTCTGTGGTTACCTTTTGTGAAAAGGCCATTTTCTCCAGGATTACTAACAAAAGTATGTGAACGTCAACTACGTATCCACATAACGCCTTCTCGTGGACTTCATTATCACTTCACCGTATTCTTTGATTATTTTCATTTATGTGCTATTGAGTTAGCACTGTATGGTGCACTAACAAACATCTCCTCCAATATTATAAGGTAAGCAGTTTTGTTTTCAATAATTGTTGGTTAATGACTTGAAAATATTCTCTCATAAATTTGAATGTTGTTAGATGGTTGGAGGTAACCAACACGAAACCATGTTCTTAGGTTTTGTTCTTGTCTAGCGCCCGTCAACAGAGCATATCTGCAAGTTTAAGTGAAGTTATGCTTCGTCTCCTCTTCAAACCTGCGTCACCTGGAGAATTTATCGATCGCTTCGCAATGTGGCGTCTAAGCTAAGAGACTCACCATCGCGATGCACTTTGATTGATGTTAGTTGGTTGGAGGCAATCGACAGAAAACCCTAGACCTAGGCTTTGGTTCTTGTTGGCACTCATCAAAGAAAAGGACTTTTGAGCCTTAGGATTTGGTGTATTTCTCATCCTGATTGAATTTCATTCAGCAGGCATTCAGAAATAAGAGTGAATTCTTATCGTGCAAGTAAGGAGGTTTAGAAGGAAAAATTGTGGATCCTGAAATTATTTCGGTGTATCAAAGTAACTATCACTCTGAAGACATTAGGAACTACATCTTCTATTACCTAACACTAAATTTCTCTTTGATGTTCCATAAAGTAATACACCTCCTAAACTTAGAGTATGCAACTTTCAATGTAATGAATTTTGCACCAGGACGAAATTACTATGCCGTATTGTACAATAGTTAATTATTCGTTGATATGGAGTGAAGTGATGGGATGTGTCAACCACTTCACTTGAGGAGTTGCGTCAGCCCGAATAGGCTGGTTACTAACGGAATCTCGGCTCGGATGCGGAAGACCCATTTGGCACGTGCCGTCTAGCGTCATCTGTGGGGCTGATTGGTGATTTATCCGACTACCTATCGAAGAACGAGTATACTGCGCTGCGATCCGTTCTATCCTGTTGTATGGAGGTGAGATGTGGTTGCTAAAAGTAGAAGACATTAAGCGACTACTGGGTTTCGATCAAAGAAGTCTTCATTAATATAGGTGTAAAACTTGGACACCGGTAGAATTTAATTCCATGTTGGATTTATTTATTTGATTTATAACACACAGTTGTGTACCATTATTATTATTATTATTATTATTATTATTATTATTATTATTATTATTATTATTATTATTATTATTATTACTGCTCGTAATCATATCAATATAATCACACAACTTTCGACATTTGACTTTTATAGCTATGTCATCTCATATGAGTTGTTTTTATTGGTAGTTTATTCAGTAATCAGTCATCTCTCTCTCTACCTAATTATATTGGACGTAAGCCGTTCAGTGGCTTTATCTCACCCTAGTGTGTGTTAATGCATGCATTGCAATAGCCGTTTCTTTCTAGACTATTAGTCCTATTGAGGTTTGTTACAATACGTTTGGCTAAATTCCTATGTTCGGCTATTTTAACTAACCCTGACCGGCTAGTTTGACCTATGTACTTGACCTCGCAGTCATTACATGGAATTTGATAGATTAGATTATTTTACTGAATTGGTTCTATCAGATCCTGAGGCGACAAAGCTTATCTCTGAGTGAGTTTGTGGGTTTGAGTGCTACGCTAATTCCAGCTTTGTTGAGGATCCCAAGTAAAGTTTCTGATGTACCTTCCTTCCAGGGTAACACAATGGAGGCTGTGAACTCCTTCGTGTTGTCGTTATTATTCGTGATAGTGTTACTGAAATTGAAACACGTAAGAGGAGCACTAATAGTTAATAATTATCCTCCGCAGTTTATTAAGAAATACGTACGAACACATAAGAAAAGAAATAATAACAGTATCACTATCACGAATAATAACGACAACATGACTGCGAGGTCAAGTACATAGGTCAAACTAGCCGGTCAGGGTTAGTTAAAATAGCCGAACATGGGAATTTAGCCAAACGTATTGTAACAAACCTCAATAGGACTAATAGTCTAGAAAGAAACGGCTATTGCAATGCATGCATTAACACACGTCCAATATAATTAGGTAGAGAGAGAGATGACTGATTACTGAATAAACTACCAATAAAAACAACTCATATGAGATGACATAGCTATAAAAGTCAAATGTCGAAAGTTGTGTGATTATATTGATATGATTACGAGCAGTAATAATAATAATAATAATAATAATAGTACACAACTGTGTGTTATAGATCAAATAAACAAATCTAAAGTAGAAGCAAAGAAGTCTTCTTAGCACTGTTCGCTTCTGGTGGAATCTTTATGTGAGCATTGTTGGAGGGTTATGGAGACATTGATTTCAAGGTGATATCACGGACTGACGTCAGTCATATAACCATTAAAAAATTGGGGGTACCGCACAGCTGTTTAGTCCTAGTGTAGGGCTCTTCATCAGTGCGTACCTATGACCTCGCCAGGGATCAAATGCACAGCCTTCAGTCTGTGCGACGAACATGTTACCAATGACCCACGTTTTCTTCCGTCATTTGGCGATATACCTCTACCTCTATCCAATACTATCATTCACTATTTGTCCTCACGTCCGACTTGGCTTGCTGCAAAGGTCGCTCTGTGTCACGGATTGACAGAAGTAGAGCAATGAGTGCCAACGCAGTGGCTCATTGAGAAACCTAAAGATCCCGGATTCAATCCCTGGTATGGTTATTTGTACTCACTGTAATTTGGTCAGTATCTCTCCTCATCACTCCGCAATGAAAGTATGTTAACAAGCGTATTTATCATGTCTTGCTTTTTTGTGATCAAGATTTGTGTAGGATAAATATCATTTCATAGCAGATCCCTCCCCTTCCCGGACAGTTTGAATTATTATCTCCATTCGTTTTATTTGTGTTCCATGTTGGCAGAATTCTTTACTTTGATGGTGTTTGCAATACAACCTTAGGATTACAGTGGTGAAAATTATCCTTTCTAACTTATGTTTTCCTTTACCATCATCATCTTTTACAGTTGGCCAAAAATATCGCCGCATAATACACCATTACAGGCCAACAGTCCGATAGTGAACTTAGCTCAGCAAACGTGGCACAGTATTCTTTGTAATGTTAAACAGGTAAGTCTTATATCCATGTATTTTAATGAACTTATTGTCGCTATTACCTTCTTGTGTGTATATGTATGTTTTCGTCGTGTATTGAACATAAGCGTTTTCCTACTATACTCATATTTGTCGATGTAGACTTTTCAAGGTGGCCAAAAATGTTTTATGCTATTCACTTAACTTTCGAACATGAGTTACTAACTTTAGGATCAAGTAGTGTAGTTATGGTTCATTGGTTCAACCACCGCTCCACTTACCGAGGTTTAGACAACCAGGTAGTATCATCAGCACTCACATACTAGATGTGGCTCATTACCTGTCGACTGCATGAATGTGCACAAGAAGGCTGGATAGATTTGGATTTCTTTTAGGATCAAATGTACCAAATTAGTATTCTGTATATGTTCATATGTGGCTTGTTACAGGGGACAATTCCAGTTAGTTTGTCAACATGATATGAACACTAATATGTTTGACTATATACATTTAATGATTATGTTCCCTAAAATAAGTGTCCAAATAAAAGGAAGACCTTATGGCTTAAATATGCTTCGTTACGTTGAAATTAATTCAATTGTTTGTTTTTTACTGATTTTATCGGATAACTATCATCACAAGTTCTTATTATTCGAAGGAAAAGTTGCTCAACAAATTGGATACCATTATCTAAGATCTTCTCCTTCCTGGCTTCAGATCCACGATAATAATCAAGATACCCTCATAAGTTAAGTTGGCTTAGGATTGACAGAAAGCCGAAGAGACTGGTACAAATCATATCACAGTGAATCTCGAAAGATTAATTTTCGTTGTCTTGTGAACAAACAGGAAGGGGGAGGGGGATCTATATGAATAACTCTCAGCCAACATTCAAAAGCTTCGTAGATTGGTGGTATATCTAATCTGTTTTAGTTTTATCTTCAAACCAATTGTAACCTTATCATAGGTTACAGCTGATTTTTCGGTAAGATATTTAGAATTTTTAAATTTAAGTGTTCTAAAATCTTAATGTCACACTGAAAATGTCGAAGGAAAACTCGTCTGGTTATCATTCGTTCATAAAGTATGGAAATATCAATCGCTGAAATGCAAGTTGACAATTCAAAAATCAGCAATGGGTAAAACTCGGCAACTATTTAGACAAAAAGATGATGGTGAATGAAACCACCACTGAAAAGGATGGAACGCTGATCAGCTCTCAGGACAGGCGACTAGAACGTTGGGGAGAACATTTTGAAGCACAATTTAACTGGCTTTCAGCAACGCTTCGGTTACCCAACATCCAGCCTGAACTTGAATGGGGAGACATTGTTCCTCCAACTCTCCTTGAGGTTGAGGAGGCTATATTAAACCTGAAACGATGCAAAGCAGCAGGCCTTGGCAGTTTACCACCTGAGATTTCAAGGATGGATGTGGGGAATTACTGATTAAAGCGACAGGGGTACTGGCTAGTGTATAGGAATCAGAATTATTGCCGACAGACTGATGTACCTCGGTGGTCATCCTAGTCTATAAGAAGGGAGATATATCTTCCTGTGACAACCATAGGGGAATTAGTCTGACTAATGTTATGTCCGAGATTCTAGGGACCATAGTTATCCGATGCTTAATTGGAGCTCAAAAACAACAAACTAGAGAAAATCAGGCACGTTCTAAACTGAACTGGAGGAGGGTGCATCGGTCTTATTTTTGCCCTCCGACAGATACTGGGACATCGGCATACCTACCAGCCAGTGGCCGACAATTGCCATATTTCTTGACCTGAAGGCAGCATTTGACTCTGTCGACTTCGAGTTGCTGTAGGAGTGTTTGACTTTAGGGGGAGATCAACCCAGTATATGACGCTAATCAAAGCTCTCTACTCGAACTCATGGAGCCGTGTCAGGGCTTGTCATGTGAACTGACTACAACTGATGGTATTTACCAGGGTTGTCCACCGCCACCGTTCCTATTTAACTTCGCCGTACATGTACTAATGAACTTAACCTTAGGTACGTCTGATTTCAGAGGGATTAACTGAAGATCGTCTGATTGACTCGCAATATGCAGACGATATTGTCCTGCGAGGGGAAGATGCTGACAAAATGCAGGGTTTTCTGAACGCATTGAGCAGAAATTTTAGTATGTTTGGCGTGCATTTCACACCTGTCAAATGTAAGATGATGCCCCAGCACTGGTTTACTGCAATTGTTCCCAGCTTAATGATAGTGAGTGAAGCAGTAGAATATGTCAACTACTTCACTTCGAGAGTTGCATCTGTCTTATTGGGCTGGTTGTTGACGAATTGTCTGCTCAGATAGAGAAAACCCACCTGGCACGTGCCAACTTGCTTCACATGTGCGGCTGATTGGCGAGATATCTGACTATCTATCAAAGGACGACTGTACTGTACCACAGTCCGTTCTATCCTGTTGTACTGAGGTGAGATGTGGCCGCTAAAAGTAGAAAACATTAAGCGATTACTGGGTTTTGATCAAAGAAGTCCTCGTAGCACTGCTTGCTTTTGGTGGAATCTTCGTGTGAGCAATGTTTTAGTCAGGCGAAGTGTACTAGGTAAGACAGGCAAGTCGATTAATGAGGTGAACTTAAGTTGACTGACATGTACTGCTCATACCGATCCAATGCGATTCTCGACGCGCCCTGCTAGGGGTTGTTGAATTAGGCTGGAAGAGGGTTCAATGTGGCCAGACGAAAACGTGATACCAATCGATGAAGTCTGTGACTATTTGTCTGAGTCGTGCGAGGAGATGTAGACCAGCCGGCTCTTTGGGGTCTTCGAGGCGAAAGGGTTCGGTGTTTTAGGGCTCTTGGTGACATGGCTGAAAGTTGGTCACAATGACGCAGATGTATTTACTTTTGACATCTTCTAAAACATGAACATTCGCAGTACCCTTTATCGTTAGGTTGTTTGTTCTCTCACACAACTCTGCCTACTTTGATATCACTCTTTTTGAATCAACCTTTTCTTTGAAGTGTAGCAACTTGTACGTTGCCATGTAGATTTTGTCAGTCAGTCATTCAGTCAATGACAAATACCGTGGAGGTTAGTAGACAGCTATAGTATTGTCAAAAATAGTAATTACCCATTTACTTGAGTTAAGTGTAGTGTATTCTTTTTCTGTAACCTCCCTCCGCTCTACTAGTTTTCTTCCTTAATGTTATGTGAAGGATTTTTTTCTCTCCTCATGCCGTCTTCTCGATAGGTGTTTATCGATACTTGTTTGAGTTTTTTGTGTTTGACCTGAGTGAACGTTTATTTACGCATGAAATATGTCTTTGGGATGAACAACAGATGAAAAAAGACTGTTTTATGTAGCCGCGAAGTTTAGGAAATTTTTCAGTGGTAGAGAGAGACAGTATTTGTAAAATGTGAATGATGGTTCTCCTAGTTTTGTTATTAGATAGTGAAAATTTAATCGTCACACCGAATATTCTCATCTATTGTACCTTCTTTTCAAATTACTGATCTCGATTATGTTTGAAATTCGCAGCTCTTTGTGTGTCTGGAATGTACAATCACCAGGTTTGTGGATAGTTAGCGTAATTTTACCCAGTAATAATAATAACTTTATTTTGGAGAATATTTCGGGAATACTGTACAGAATTTTCAGCATTTCATGTCGAATCAATTGGACAAATATGTATTCATCATAAAATGAAACAAATAGAAATCACATACATAAAATATAAGAATATTTACTCCATCTTTTTGAAAATACAGAGTCAACTTAGGTAAACAGTCACATTAGCAATAAGTTTCATAATATATGAATAGTAGCGAGCTGTGTAATCCCCAGATGTTAGTTAGATGGAGGCAACCGGCAGGAAACCCTGCTTGATCTAGGCTTCGTGCTTGTTGTCACTCGTTAGCAAGGCGTATCTCCAACCTCTGGGGAACTGATGTTCTACCTGAGATTTGAACTGGCGTCACCCAATGTTGCAGTCTGCGATGTTACCACTGAGCCATTTGGGTTGTGACTGACTTCCTGTAGGACTGGATTAGGCACATTGATTGGTCACTGGTGGGTAACCTACTTCATCCTGTGTAGTCCTGAGTGTTGATCAAATTCTATCGATCATTTTGCAGTGTGACCAACTAATATCTATAAAAGTGCATCGCGATGTTGAGTCAACTAGCCTGGTGGCCACATTGCTAAATGATCGATAGAATTCCACCAACACTTAGGACTGGTTTCCCTCCAGTGATCAATTTGTGAATCTTTAATTAGTTTTTTTTTTAAAAATAAAAGTTGGTTAATCAGTTGATTTCTAGTCCTTTCTTCCTCTCACAGAAGACGAGCTAAATACGGTATTGTAGAGTTTGTCATATTTAGTAGTACATGCATAAAGTCTTGTGTACTTGCTCCTGATCTTGCTTGGTGAGTAACATGCAGGGAGCTTCGAGTGAAGAGGATGCTGGTGGTCTGTTAAGATAATTGCTGCTAGGTGTTTATATCAGCTACGATGTTTGTCTACGACAATTTCAGTTAGAAGGTTTAGAAGTGCACCACTAGTTCTTCTGACAATCTTCCAAGCTCTATGCAATGTAGCATAGTCTTTTTTCAGCTACCCAGGAAAGAAAAAAGAGGAACAGTAGAGGAGAATGGGCAAGACGCCGGAGTTTATAAAGCACAAAAGAAGAAGCTGAGTTATAAGAGATACTTCCAGCTTCCTAACATAGGAAGTTAGGAGGAAGATTTTTTTGGAAGTTATTAAGATATGGGAGGACCAGGAAAGGTAGAAAAAACCCCGAGATAAATCATGCTCGTGACATTCTCTAAGACACAACCATCAATAGAACGAGAAGCACAAGATGTAAACAGTTTACATAAGTTACGTTCATATCTGAAACTAAAGTTTGAAGAATGAAGCACAAGACCATACACGGAGGATCATCGTCTAACAGTAGATATGAAATGGTTGAGCTGGGAACAATCTGTTGAAGAGGAGATGGGTATGAAAATTGTTAGGTCATCAGCATATTTTAAAAAATTGATACTAGTTGAAGATGATAAGTCATAGAGAAAGAAAGAGAAAAGACCGAGGAAAACGACGGCACCCTAGGGAATACCAGTCTTCACAATAAGCATTGAGGTGAAGTGCTTCCTTCTGTGAACGGTTTGTTGTTTCCTCTCGGAGAAATAGGAATCCAGCCAGATGTTTGTCTAGGACGCGATATTTGTCCCGGTTAGTCTGTCCAGCAAAAGAGACAATCAAATACTGAAGTATAGTCTAAAAAGGTACACATGACATACTTGATATTTTTATCAAGATTATTAGCAATATTGTGATACAAGATAGTGTTGTGGTACTATATAAGGGCTAGTGATACTGCCTGGGCAACTAAACATCGGTAGGTGGAGCTGGGTTCGAACCCGTGACCAAATAGTTGTTAATCATCTCCCTATACCTCTGAGTCGTAGCTTCACTAAACCACCGATTAGTAGGAATACTAATCTGGCATAAAATGCACAAATAACTTCAACTTAAGTTAAAATATGTTATTCACGGTTGAGGTTAATGGTCAAATAAATTTCTTTAGCATTTTGTTTATGACAAAGCTCTTGTTCATACAATCGTTTTGTTATTCATTGAAATGGAGTACAACAAACACTATCGGCTGAGTTTAATTAGCAGTTAAATTACAGCAGCATTTTAGTGCTGATTCAATTTTGTTTATTTATCTGAGTACACTCTATCATTTTTGGAATATATTCTCTTGTTTACAGGTAATAATGTTGTGCATGCATTTCGTATACGTTTGATGACCAACGAACAATTACTCTAATCTAAAGCGGTTTTTGTTGATGAGTTATTCACTCAATTTAACTGGAGTAGATATTGAGATAAGAAAAAAGCCGATGAGTAATTATCATAGCAATAAGAAAATAGGTCGTTGATGCATTTACTTGTTTACATTTACTTAATTATCACTGTTATTAATTGATATAATGACTTTCACTGTTCTCATCCTACTCATTGTAGGTATTTTATGCTATAAAGACAATTTATTGTCTCTGTTTCATTTTTCAAATAATGACTATTGAGGTGAATCGGTGTAACCTGTAAACCATTCATAGCTGCATAAGAATCGCGTAAGAGAATTAACAGTGTCGGCCTATATAATCTAGTATAGTCTCGATAAAGTAAACTTTGTTAAACATATTAGCCTATTAACATGGCTAGGATTCTCTCTCTCTCTCACCTGTCTTTATCTCCGTACTTAACTAAAAATAATTAATCACATATGTTGTACACTCTGTTGTGCAATACCCTGCCTAAATTTACAATGTAACTATCATCGGTGCTAAGTGGAATAAGCGGAGACGTGACTCTCGAGTTCAAACCACTTAGGGACACCGATTTCTGCCTAGATAACTGACCAGAATCGTGACTGGCTCATGGGATAGCGGATAAACCTATACTGAATTGCACTGCAAAAAATGAAATCAATAAAGTTTGTTTTATTAATCTGTAGTTTTTAATGACTAAAACGAACCTTCTCAATTTTCATACTGTGTAACTAGGTGAAGTAGTAGAAATCAAGGAATGACTTCAACGAAAAGAAAGGTCTTTAGTGCAACCAATCTAGCATTTTCATGGATAACAATATATTGTCCGATAACTTGACTTTTCAAGACCATTCGACATGCATAGTCTTTTACATCTTATTCACATGGAATATTTGTCTCATAACTTTCAATATATTATTCCAGTTTTTTTTAGTTAACATTGTATTATAGATGAAAATAAAGATGTAACTCAGTAACCATGTGCAGGTTCATGTATTCAGCAGTGAGTTATACACCTGTGGAATGTAGGTTGATGATACCATCCCCTCGCCTCAGCTTTCACTAGTTTGATCTGGGCTTGAACCCGGTGACCTGTTGGTTAAAATTCAATTCCCTAGGGAAATGAGCCACCACAGCCCCACTGTATGTTACTGTCATACATGCTTATGTATTAGTGTCGTTAAATAGCCTAGCAAATTGACCTGGGGTACCAGGCGGTCATTGGGTCAGTTGATCACTTTTATTAGTCCACAGTTATTTACTTTTTGTTACCAGTCTTATACTAGGATTTATCTTAGAGCTTTTTATTTTGTCTTACCACTACTTTTAGGTTAGCAGATATCATTTTGCTCTTGCTATGCATCGACATATTTGTCAAGTATTACTGGCAGCACGAGAATCTATGCTTTTATTTTGGCGTGAAAGCATTCCTTATTTACCTGCAAATGTCAAACCAAGAATAGGTACGTTTTTCTTTATTCTTGTTATATTTGTCTGTGTAGTCCGGTTGTGAGTTTAGGTTGATGCCTAGTATTTTTAATACGGGGTGATGAAAACCTGGATCGCGACAGGATGCGAACCAGCAACCTCCCGGTTCCAAGCCCGTTGCTCTATCAACTGAGCTATGAAACCCGGGTACTGACCCAGACCTTGTAAATTTTAATCTCATACCTCTTTACCTGATGACATTATTTCAGTGTAGTGTTTATCTCGAATTGATAACCGGCTGGAGAACCACTGAAAGCCTGTGAGTATTAGCTGTTTCCTCCTGGTTTGCGTCTCCTTTCCATAGCGTGCTCAAGACTTAATAAGCACCGTCAGGTCTCTCAAAAAGCATATTATCATGCAGCAAGTTTGATTGGAGTCCAGTGATCCACATTTTCCCACTTCTTTGAATTTTAGTGGTGACATGACGGTCATCAAGTGCTATACGCTAGTATTTTTTTTCTTATACCCTACCTACTTGGTGATAGTATTGTTCCCGACCGATAGCTGCTACCTTGACTTGGTGGTCGGGCTTGCTTATCACAATGACCCAAAGAGCTACACTGTTTGGAACACTTGTTCCCTTGAGGTCCCACCATACAAGAAAGGTTATCTGCATAGGGGTAAAAAGAAGAGTAGTTACAATCATAGTGTAAATTACTACACTATGATGGGGGTTTGAGGGTGAAGTTGTACTGATGCTAGCTGGATGAGGTGTAACAGCAGTAAGATGTTTCACTTGACTGACCAGCAGTGTGACGCTTATGCTCCCTTCCCTATGGGAAGGGGGATGAGAAAAGGTTGGCCGGGAAAGTAACACACCCCCACCCTGGCCATACGGTCTTCTGGTGCCGCCGACATGTGTTCCCTGTAGCCGGCGTTAGAACAACCAAACCCTAAAACAACAACCCGCAAAAGACTGTGTGTGTCAGATACTATTGTTTTGTGAATTTTTCATCGTTTCTGATAATGACATCTATCTTGATGTGATGATGTGATGGATGGTTGCAGCGTGGGTCATTAGTTACACAGTAATGATAATATCCCTTTGTCCGTCAACGCATGAATGGTCTCTGCACAACTAGGGACTCTTTTTTGCAAGATATATACTCGAAGAAGGTTCACTGTCGTTAACGAGTTAACAAACAGATAGATGTTGGATTTATTAACTTATTGCCACCTTTTTAATTCAAATAGATGTTAACATTGTGCTTTTTCAAAATCTCTCTTTTTTGCAATGCAGAAGCTGTGGATTTTCGAAGTAAATTGGATTCACTTACTGAAATGACTCAGGTTAGTTTTATTTGCAGAATTCATTTCATCCCCCAAATCCCTGTCGTCGATGATGAAATTGTGTTATGAATTTTTCTATAAAGATTTTAATATATGGTTCTGCAAAGCGTAACGATTCTACAGGTTACTGTGTTTATTAATCACAGGAATTGCAATGTTAAAATGTACAACATCTTCTGTACCAAAGAGGAAAAGCATGGATTTCTTAGTGACAACTTCTTTGGCACATGTTCAGGGATTGTCTTGGCAAAAACGTTCTCCGTTTTTCCGTCGTTTGTGCTACCGTAGTCATTGGAGGTAACTTGGCGGAAGTCTCATATCCAAGTTAGACTGTCTACGCATTTCTTGTCCCACAATCTAATAGTGACTTGGAAGCAGGAAAAGTTAATAAGATGCAAGTGTTTAGTTGACGATTTTTCGAACTCAGATTGTCTCCTTTAAATGTTAGTTTTAGAAGCTATATAAGTATGAATGACTTGACTAATATATTCATTGTATATACTGAGCTCTGTTGATTTTTATACTGATTCTGATAGACTCTTTTGTGAATTATATTCACAGTTTGAAATAAAGGGTAGAAAAGGCTCGATTGACATTTGCCAACTGGGGTGGCGAGATATCCGACTATTTTTCAATAGACGAATGTACTGGGCCGCAGCCCGTTCTGTCCTGTTGTATGACTGTGATAGATGGTCGTTAAAAGTAAAGACATGAAACGGTTACTGAGTTTTAATCACAGGTATCTGTCTTCGTGACATTGCTCGCGTTTGGTGAAATCACCGTATGAGCGATGTTGAGGTCAGACGAAAAGTACTAGGCAAGACAAGCAAGTCGATTGATTAGGTAGTGAACATTAGTTGACTGAGATGGCTTGGAGATGTATTGCTCATGCCGAGCAAACGCCTGCGTCGGCGTGCCATGCTAGAGAAAGTTGGATTAGGTTGGTAGAGAGGGTTGAGAGTGGCCAGACGAAGACGACACCAGTTGATGAAGTCTGTGACTGCTGGTCATGTGGGGATATGCAGACTAGCTGGCTGGTTGAGTTCCCCGAGACGAAAGGATTCAGTGTTTGAGGACTGCTCTTTGTGTACTACTGTGAATCGTGGTAACGTGAGCCGATACAACTGTGTTCGAGGTTCTACATTGTTTTTATCAGTCAGGTGATTCAGAGCATAAAAATTGAATGAGTTCACTTCATCTAATGATGTTTGTTGTTTTTCATATTTCTTTGCGCATATGCATCTCAGATTACTCCTGACTATCAAGTATCACCCCTTTGGTTAATCAGAAATAACAGTTAACAGTTGTTGTATGGGGCTGCTTAATTGAAATAAGAATCACATAGCCCAACACTTCCGAAGTCAAATTTACCTTATCGTTGTAACCAGACTCTCTGTCACCTTCCAACAAAAGAAAGAATGATAACTGAAAACACTGGAAACGTTTTTACTTGGGAAGAAATGAAAAAGACATACTGTTAGGCTACTGACTGACTGATTCCTAAACTTTGCTGATAAAATCTGTTTATTGTATTGACCATCAATAGGCACTAGATCAAAATATGTTTCATTAACTTCCATCTGTAAATTCAGGTTGGTATAATCATAAGTCGCACACAGAGATGACTGACAACTTGACACGTAGATGTGGTTAACTATTGATGTTAAGGTATATTATTATTATTATTTATCCCTTGGGTTCCTAATGGAATATAGGGCTTCAGTAGCACGTCTCCCAATGCTCTGTGTTCTCTGCAAACTTTTGAACCTGGCTCTACGACAGCCTACAAGCTCTCATTTCCTCCTCACACGATCTCCTCCATGTCACCCTCGCCACGGACGCCCAACTCGTCGCTTCCCATCGGGTTCCACTCGAGTGCGTGGCCTGACGCGTGATGTCCCCAGTCGGCCTTCTCAGTCTATGCCCAATTCCATCCATCTCCACTTCCTTCCAATGCATATTTGTTGAGTGATAGGTTCTTGGTTGGTTCGTTTCCAGAGTTGCTTGTTGCCTATTCTTTCTGGACATCTGATCTTCAGTAACGAGCCAGCGTATGCACTTGTTGATGAATGTCTGTCGTTTGTTGGAAGTGCCTTTCGTAACGCGCCAAGTCTGTGAACCATCATACAGAAGCACTGATTTGACGTTGGTGTTGAAAATCCGTATCTTGTTCTTTGTGCTGAGTGCAGAAGATCTCCACACTGGATTCAGGTTAATGAAAGCCTGTCTTGCTTTTCCGGTCCTGACTTCGACGTCCTCGTGTATGTCGCCTGTAGTTGAAACAGTGCTGCGTAGATAGGTGAAGGAGGCTACTTCCTTTAAGTTTCTCCCGTTCATGGTGGTTGAAGCTTGTTGGTGGTGGTGGTGGTGGTGGCGTTGTTGGCCGGGTATCTTCATCACCTCTGTCTTCTCTATATTCACTTGAAGTCCCGTCTTCGCTACACTGCCTCACCTCTTCTGCCAACTTGTTAGTTTTCGCCTGTAGATCTTCTAGTTTGTGCTACATCAGACACAAGTCATCGGCGGCGAAATCCAAATCTTCTAGGTTCTTTTCTCCGGTTCAGTCAGTGTATGCTCATCTTCTTGCTCCTCACTGTTTGTTGCACGATCCAGTCGACCACAATCAGGAATATCATGGGTGATAGTAGACAGCCTTGTTTCACTCCTGTCTTCACTTCACTTCAAAGGCATCACTGATCTTTTCATTGTGAATTACTTGGCTGGTATGTGGCGTCTTCATATAGTTGTTGAATGAGATGATAAAGGTTTGTGGGATTCCGTAGTGTTGAAGCAGTTTCCAAATTACTTGTCGGTCGACGCTGTCAAAGGCCTTCTCAAAGTCGATGAAGTTGAGGTAGAGGGTTGACTGCTATTCTATACTCTGTTCTATGATGATGCGTAGTGTAGCGTTGCAATTCGGTTCGCACATGATTTGTACTTCCTGAATCCAGCCAGCCTGCCTGTTCCGGTCGTAGTTTTGAATCCAGTGCATCCTTAATCTCTCCAAGATGATGTGGCTTAATATTTTGCTTGGGGTGGACAGGAGGGTGATTCCGCGCCAGTTCTTGCAAAGATTTGGGTCGCCCTTCTTCACGAGTTTGACAAGGTAGCCCTTCTCGCAATCAATTGCCAGGTACCTTTCCTTCCTTCCACACCTTCTGCAATAGTGGTGTGAGCATGTCCGCTGTTGACTCTGCGTCTGTTCTCAGTGCTTCTGGTGGGATTCCATCTGGTCCTGCCGCCTTCCCGCATTTCAGTAGTTTTATGGCGCTCGGGACTTCGACTTTTGTTGGAGGATTTATGTTCACTGGTAGTTCTGTGGCTGGGCTGCAGGTGGTATTTCTGGACGAAGTGCAGGTGGTGGTGGTGGTGGTCGATTCGAGAGCTTTTTGAAGTGGTCGGCCCATCGTTTCCTTTGTTTCTCCTCTTTGGTATTTAAATTTCCGTCATCATCTTTTATTGGTTTCATCTGCGTTGATCTCTCCCCTCCCAGATAGTAACCTGGTTATTTGACACAATGTTGTTAGGTCTCTCCTACCTGCAGCCTGTTCTGCTTCACTTGCCAGTCAGTGTTTTGTAGAAGTGTC